ACCAGAATGTCTGCTGTAGTATTGTGTAGTATTGTGTTCTATTATGTGACATTTTCTCTAGAAAAGACAGGGAAGCTGAACCCCAGATATCTCAGCTACATGTCTTCCTAGGCAAGATCTAAGCAAGGACAGTACCAACAGACATGCTAGCCCAAGAGGTGGACATTTTACACCACAGCAAGCTCTGCCTGTAAACAAAGAAATAATGAGAGACATGTGTGTAATAATAATTTAAAAAATGGGCCATTAATTTGGGAGGGAATAAGGATGTAGGGACATGAGGGAAGAAAAGGAAGGGAGACATGATAAACTTTTAATTAATTTTTTTTTAGTTTTAAAATGGTTACCCTTGTGATAAAACAAAATCCATCCCAAGAATGTAAGGATGGTTCAATATATTCCAATCAATACACATAATACATCTCACATAGATAATAAAGTAATAATAGAGTAAAAGTCAAAATCATCATTGTTTAAAGAGATATAAAATGTTTAACAATATTTGGAATCCTTTCACTATAAAAATGACCAGTGAGTTGCCTGAATACTATAAAAACAGTATATAACATATTCATACTAAACCGGGAAAGATAGATAACCTTTACTCCAGAATCAGAAGAAAAAGATGTCCAGTCTCATCACTTCTACTCAGCAGAGTCCTAACTAGAATAATTAGGCAACAAAAATAATTAAAAGGTGTCCAAACTAGAAATGAAGAAATTATATTTGCCTCTTTGCAGACAACATAGTCTTCCAATCCAAAGACCCAAATGATGTCACCCAAAATTGTGACAATAAACCAATTCAGTAAAGCTAAGGTATGTAAACTTAGCATGTGGAAGTCAGTGGCCTTTCTATACATTGATTGAAAAACTCACTGGAAAAAAAATGAATCAAGAAAGCTATGTACAATGGCTACAGAATTTTCAAATAATAATAATAATAATAATGTCAGAACAGTGTCTTCTAAACATGATCACTAAATATTCATGAACTTACAGCATCTTTGGTTTCCTGCACAAGAATAAACCAGTCTCACAAGTTAAGGGCACTTGCTGCTGTTGCAGAGGACCCAGTTTTGATTCCCAGCATCCACACAGTGGCTCACAATCATCTGTAACTCCAGTTCCAGGAGACCTGACAGCCTTTCTGACCTCCAGAGACTCTACATGCACACAGTGCACAGACAAATACACAGGCAAATGGTACTGGGGAATCTGGAAATCCACCCACAAAAGAGTGATGTTGGACTCTAATATCATACTTTATGGAATAATAAACACAAAACATATTAAAGACTTAATATAAACCCAATAATTGTGAAACTACTAGGGAAAAAAAACACAGGAAAACTTGCTGACAAAGGACTTGTTGGTGGTTTCTTAGGCATGACCCCAAAAGTACAGTCAATGAAAGAAATGTAGAGAAATGGAAGTACAAACTAAAATGCTTCTGCCTAATAAGGGAAGCAATTACTATAGAAAGAACTGTTCATACACAAAATGGAAGAAAATATATGCAATTATACATGTGGCAAGTAATTCATACTAAAATACATAACAGACTCAATAGTTCTTTGATTAAAAGTCATCAGATGATCTGAATGGATCACATGCAAAGTTTTCAGCATCATTACTCACCATGGAAGTGCAAATTACAATAGCAATCAGACATTGCCTCACCCCTATTAGGATGGGCATTCTAAAAGGAAAAAAAAGGATGTGAAGATGTAATAAACAGGGGACCTTATAACAAAGTGAATTAGTAAAGTCACTATGGAAAACCAATATGGATATTCCTTGAAAATGTAAACACGGAACTGCCATGTGGTCCATCAGTCCCAAAGGAAATGAAGTCAATATATTGAAGAAATCTATACTACCAGGACTATTACAGCCTCATTCACATTAACCAAGACATCAAATCATTCCAAATGTCCATCAACAGATAAATTAATAAATAAAATGTGGTGTGCACAATGGAATATCAGTCAAGTATAAACACTTGTGAAGTCATTTCTGACATGGCTGAGCTTGGAGCACTTTGTTTTGTGACATACACAAAACACAGAAATAAACATCCCATGATCTCACTCGTGTGGGAACTAAAAGTTGACCTCACCAAAACAGAGAATAGAATGATTGCCAGGGACCTGCGTGGCTAGAGAGAAGTGCTCGAGGAGATATTGTTCAAATGATTTAAAATTTTAATTAACTAGGTACATCCCAAAAATCCACAACAGTGTATGAAATCACTACCAAGATGCTGTGATGTTGAGAAATGCTGAGTGGATGCTAAATACTCACACCCCCAAAGTGGTGACTATGTTTTTTAAGATACATGTTAATTACCTAGCTAGAGTCACACATTGTCCAATATAAATGTTCTTTAGAACATTACACTGAACATGATAAATGCATATAATTTTATATGTAAAAAGTAATTTCAACTTTGTGAATAATGCATCAAAAAAAGATAATACACAAAAAATGTTTACTATGTTTCAGTATGGTTAACATATATGCATTTGAGTTTTGTATGTGAAAGATGACTAATCATGTATGGCAGCTGCATTCATGACTTAAAGTATGCTTACAACTGTGTAGAAGGTCATGAATCACTTAGGATTGTGGCTAGCATAGCTGGGAGATAAAAATGCACTGATGGAATTTATCTACGGTTTATTCTTGCCAGAGCTAGTTTGGCCTTGACCACTTCTCACTGGAGGACACTGTAATTTGCCATGATGGATGTGTATTTTGTTAGCCAGTGATCAGAGAGGTCTAAGTAAGTAAGACAGCCAAAACTGAACACATGGAAATTCCCACCTGCTCCAGCTGCTCTTTGTACAGATGATGGATTGAGACAGGGTGGTCCAGCAGAAGTACAGATGGAGGGACCAAGGCACTGCCAAAGCCCGAGCTGTAAATCTGCCACTCTGAGCAAAATGGCATCAACTGTGGGCTGCAAGCGTGGCAGAAAGCAGAGCCATCCTTTACCTTCACAGCCCACATCCTCCAAGCAGACTCATCACCCCCCACCCCAGAACAGAAGACCTAGTGAGCAGAGAAATAGTAAAAGGCATGTGTGGTTAGGAAGATGACTGTCCGTAGAGCCCATTCACTGTGAAAGGAACCAGACTGCTCATCAGCCACTTGATGCCCATCAAAGTTTTACATATAGGATTCTTCAGCTAGTGAAAGATTCTTGTGCTGTTATAGTATGAGATTTTGGGGGGGGGGCTTAGTGAAAATAGAATCATGTGCCACATTCTAGAACTGTTCTAGACACAATCTGGCTGTGTGTGGCAAAGTCTCGGAGATGGTCAGTGACCTCACCACTAAACAGAAGTAATAAACACATAAATGATCTTGGTTTTGAAATTTTATATTTTAATTTTCACTACTTGGGTATATTCCTTGATGTTATTTTTATGCAGATACTCTATAATGACAAGGATATAATGTATGGGGTTGCTGGGGAAATTGATAGGGGTGCTGGAGAGAATGTTCATTGGTTTAGAGTACTTGATCTTGCAGGGTAACTGGATTTGAATACCAGCACTCACATGGTGGCTCACAACCATCCCAAGCTCCAGTTCCAGGGGATCTGAAAACCTCTTCTGACCTCCACAGGCACTAGGCAAGCATGTGGTACATATACATGTGCAGACAAAATATTCATACACATAAATACATCAAAATTAATATAAAACATAGGGTTTCTTAAAACATTGATAAAATTTTTCCAAACTTACAGGTTATATAAAGGCAAAGAAAACCATCTTTAAAGTATTATCTCCTGAAGATTAATTGGAAATAAAATTATAAAAATCACAATTCTGCATAGCGCATTGGTTAGTGTAGGATTTGAGTCTAATTGACCTGGATTCATGTGCCACTTGTATGCTTAGAGAACCTCCGTGGCTCTCCAGGAAGGAAAGTGTATTTATGCCAAGACTAGGGATCTTCTGAACATGTCGACATGTTGAAGTGCCTTCCATATGCCTAGTATTTAATGATTGGTGGCGATTGTTAATTTGAACTCTTTGGAAATAACTTCCATCTTCACTTGTAGCAGTTCAGGGTTTATCCATGCTGTCGGGCGGTGGTGGCACACACCTCTAATCCCAGCACTTGGTAGGCAGAGGCAGGCGGATCTCTGAGTTTGAGGTCCGCCTGAGTTCCAGGAAAGGCGCAAAGCTACACAGAGAAACTCTGTCTCAAAAAAAAAATGTCCATGCTTATTCCTTATTTTGAATGTCAATCTACTGTGTTTGGTGCTAACAGGATAATTTTTAAATGTCAGTGTGACACTGATATCAAAGAGCTTACAGTCCTCGTGTTCTAGTTAGGGGTTCTATTGCTGTGAAGGGATTCCAGGACCATGGCAACTCTTATAAAAGAAAATTAATTGGGGTAGCTTACAGTTTAGAGGTTTAGTCCACCATCACCATGATGGAAGATGGTGGCATGCAGGCAGAGATGGTGCTGGAGCTGAGAGCTCTACATCTTGATCTACAAACAACAAAAGGTGAACTGAGTAACAGTCAAACCACTTCAGTGCCCCTCAGGCAAAGATGATCAAGTAAATATTTATAATGCAAATAATAATGTATTGTGAGATGTGAAAGTATCCTTTCTTGGATCATTAGCTATCTGTACCATTCTTCATTGTTGCAACTTCCAAAGTGAGGTAAAAATTTAATCCTGCCACAAGCTTTATCATTAATTCCATAAGCACTATTATTTCAATTTATATGTTATATGGCCTTAGATTTTAATACTTTTCCTTGAGTTGAATTTTAAATGATCAAATATTGGTTTCTCCAACTCTTTTGAAGAATTGAATACAAGATACTATCTAGTGCACCATCTTCCCAATCAACATGGTATCTTTTAAAAGGACTATAATTCTTTAGAAGTTATTTTGTGGACCCCTGCTCTATCTTTAATCAAGCATTTCTCCTGCTTGACATTTCTTTAACATTCCTTCTCCAGATTTTTATTGGTGAAGTATCCATGTATTTCATAAAATCAACAAGGGAATCCCTGATTGCTGAGGAGAAAACAATCCTAACAGGGGAATGCTGTTACCTGAACCCCTTACTCCGAAGGATCATCAGATTTATAGGTAAGTGCCACAGCCTGCTGAACCGAGCTCCGATGGATAGGTAAAGCACGCTGAATTTGGTGGATATGCTTGATCAAATAAGCTAAAATATGGCAGTACCAGCATTAAAAGCAAGGGCTTCTAGGAGATTTTCCACAAAGGATAATGATAAGCCTAATCTTGGTACCACGTCAAATATTTTATCCTTGAAATAAAGTGGTATTTATTAAGTTGTTGTACAGAAATGATTTCAACTAATTTCCCCCTGATCAACTTTTCTCTTGATATTATCCCTGAACATATGCTTTAACACTGATTGAGTGTTGACATTTACTAAAGAGTAAGGGTTGGGGACAAGTGGGAAGTCAATCAAATGAAATAGTCATTTCCTGGCAAAGTTTTCCTGGCCTGTAGATCTGTTATTTGGGAAATTTAACAAAGTATGGGACATCTAATCCATTAGGTTCTTAAAAAATAAATGTTCTTCCAAACTTGGAAAAAAATGTTTACTTTAGTGTTCTTGATGAGGAATGATGAAGGCATGTTCTATGTCCATCCTAAAAACACCTAGAGTGCTATAGGTGCTGATCATAGTTTGGGAATGTATATATTGATGCAGATAGAAACATAAATCTTGCATAATTCCTACATTATAAGTACTCGATAAGTGATCATTAGGTAGGTAGTATAACAAGAACTTGCAAATGTCTGCTGAAAAAAATCTTTGTAGGAGCCCCAATAAAATTTCCAACTATGAACATGGCTGTTACTAAAACAAGCAATGGTACTATTTAGAAGACAGAGAACCGGGTACATCATGCTCTCCTTTCTTTTAATAAATAATTAATACCTTTTTTCCTGTTATAGTAAAGGGTTCAAGTTATGAACAGAGGACCTTATCAAAGTCTAATATGCAGTAACCTCTCTGATTGATCGGAAATGAAAAATGTTCTAGAGCAGGAAGTCTAAGAATTTTTTTGTAAATGTAGTAAATCAAAATTTAACACTTAAATACTCTTGGGAATTTACAAATGTCTGCAAAATTAAAGTTTTTGTAGACTGCAGAAGACTAAAGTTGGCTCATATGGTTATAGACTGATCCATATGATGTTACTACTGTCCAATTCAACTGTCCTAAAAAATTGTTCTTTTCAAACATATCTAGAGTTACGCCAGTTCCCACCAGAATGACTGGCTACCAAGTCATGGAAAAAGAGTAGATAAGAGAATATTTATCACACTGAACAATGAACTAGATAGTTTATTACATTACTTCATTTAATCCACCCAACATTACATGAAGTGTTCTATTGTTGAAAGTGTATAGATGAAGACTCTAATTGAACACAAAATCAAGATATTACTTTATTCAAGATTGTATGGTCCCTCCATCTGATCTGCTTCCTATGCATGTAATTAACTGTAAACATCTTTAAATGTCACTGTTACTGTTCCTTTGCAGAGAAAAGCCGTGCCTATCTGTGACTCACCCTACCTGGGGCAAGGTCCAAAGAACAGAAAATTTAACTGGTATTTTCCCTTATGTAAGACTCTGTGGCTTATCTATATGCTTATGGAGAGATGCCAGGAAATACCTAACTCCCAGGATGAACCCTCCACATAGCATGCTGTGGCCCATAAAATTACCACTTGAGACACAACACTGGGCTAAGGCACGGTTTCAAGATCAATGAAGGATCATCAGACTCCCACTAATAAGTGATGACACATTTGTCCATTTGGATGTTGTATGCAAGGGGGATATGGTAAAGAAAATGCCAGTATGACCACTCCATGGTAGGGTTAAGGAGAAGGGATTTTATTGTAGACATGATAATGAGAACAGCTGGAGGCATCTGGAAGAGTCCAGAGGAGAGAGAGCAAGAAGTAGACTGTACATGGCCAGCAGACTAGACCTGGCCAGGGCCATTTACAGGGAGAATAGCAGGGGATAGAGAATAAAGAAAGTGAGAATAGTGGGGTTATAAGGAGGGTGAGTAGTTGGGAGAAGGGAAGGATTGGGAGACTGGCATGGGGACTTTGAAATGTATAACAAACACATATACATATAATAAAAAATTTGTGGTACTGAGGAAGCTTGGAGGACAGCATACCTTTCCATATGCAACCACAGGTATATGAAATTGGAGACCCATATGTCTCTTTTGCCAAAGGTAAGGGAAATGACTCCTTTTAGCAGATGGGAACTGGTTTCACAAGTTCCTGAAGAATGCTGGCTTTTATCCAACCACCAGAAATCCTTATATAGTGCAGGTTGATTTTGGATTATCTCATTTCTGGATATTTGGACAACCTTTTGGAGTTTGGAAACTGGAGTTTCCTTTGGACCTGAAAGATTTATCATAAGCCAATGGAGATCTGGATGCTAAAAGCATAAAGCAGAGAGATGTTCAAATAAATCAGCTTGAGTTCAATATCATAATATAGCCAGAGGGTAACATGTAAAGCTTGAAAAATTAGTGGAAACATCAATAAAAGGCAGAGAATTAGATGGTCACAAGAGAATTGGCTTCATATGTTCCTTGTCTTATGATACAAGAATCCACCTAGTTGCTCAAGAAAAAAACCTGGGAAACTCTAGCCATCTGGGAACTTGTAAGCAATGCAGATCTGTGGAACCCACACCAGTACCTACTCAGTCAGAAATACTGACAATTAGCCTGATGATCAGTGTCAAAATATGAAAACCACTGACTTATTAAATTTCTCTTGGCCCTTTAAGGGATTTCCCCAGATGTTGCCTCTCAATTCACCGTTTTAACTCTACAAAGACACCATCTATTGATCATCTTGAAGCCACTGGTGTGTGTGTGTGTGTGTGTGTGTGTGTGTGTGTGTGTGTGTGTGTGTGTGTGGTGTGGTGTGGTGTGCACATGCGCTCACACATGCATGCATGTGCTCATGTTTGGTGTACCTACACATTCATGTATGTACCCATACACTTTGTACACTTATGGATACTGGAGAAGGATGTTGGGTGTCCTGCCCTATGACTCTCCACCTTACTTTCTTGTGACTGGATTGCTCTGAATCTGGAGCTAGGCTAACAGCCTGAAAGCCCCAGTGATCCTGTCTCCACACCCTCCCTACAGCACTGGGGTTACAGGCCCATGTGGCCATATACAGTTTGTTACATGGGCGCTCGGGAGTCAAACTCAAGTGTCCAGGCTCACATCACAAGCACTCTTAATTGTTGAACCATCACTCCAAAGCATTTTCGCATATTCTTTGAATATTCTATAGAGCCCTTTACACTTTGAGACCCTCTCCTGGCTCCAATCTTATGACTATTCTAAATTGCTTTACTGGCCTTCAGAAAGACTATAGGATTCCCATCTCAATTCCTGTTCATGTTGTGTTCCTACTGTCTAGAGTATCCTTTTACCATAGCACCTAGTCACCTCCTTCAGTATCGGTTTAAACATTACCTGTTTATAGCCAAACAACTAGCTAGCTCCCTTGTCTTCCAGACCCCCACTGGACCTTGTACTTCTATCTTTTATGGGCACTTAACAGATTGGTACCATTGCTTAAGTCTGTTATTCCTTATAATTTCTGTTCCTTGGAGAGTGAGGACTTAATGAAAGCAGCATATTGCAAGCAACGTGCCACAGACATAGACTTTGAATAAATATAGAGCTTGGGAGATCTTTTTAATTTTGTTTTGGTTGTTGTTATTGTTTGTTAGTTTGATAGATGAAGAGCAAAGATAAAATTTGTTAAATAGTAAATTTTCCAAAAACTAAGTTCATAAAGGCTAATTCTTACATCTTCTTTTCCCTCCTCTTTAATGACCATGATTGCCAGTCCAGCTTGGTTCTAGAACTTCAATGTACACACATAAGGCAATTTGGAAGAGAGAGCATGAAAAGTCCAGTCTGACTTTCCATATAGCACTATTAGACAAAAGAGAATGCAGAAGAATCTAGGAAAAGTTAATTTCTGAGTATCTAGATTATTTTCTTTATAAAAGGGAGAAAATGTATTCATTGAAATAAAAATCTTTTAAATGGAAATATTTCCTCTGACAAAAATTAAAATAAAATAAGGTAGTTACCAAACTCTATTAGAAACATTACTGTAAGGAGCTTAATAGTCTTCTTTCTAAGCCAGTAGTCACCAAAATACACACTCTGCAATTGGCATTGGGAAATGACAACTGTTTTAAATGACTGTTCTAATTAAGCCTAAATGGCATGATTTCCCCTTGCAGTTTGTGTAATTGTTTTCAGAGCCGTTATGAATAGTATTTCCTAGCAAATACAATCAACTTTGTGTTACCAAAAAAATGCCAATGGATTAGCAAATTGTTTTAAGGAAATGTGCTTCATACTAGGGGGGTCAGAAAAAGCAGGTTTGATAGGAGTGAGTGCATATGTCCCTTCTACATTGCATTTGTACAGTGTACGTAACAAACCTTAAAATAAATGTCCTTTTAAACCCCACATTTTATACTGATGTACAGTGTATATAACAAACCTTAAAAATAAATGTCCTTTTAAACCCCACATTTTATACCGAATCATGTTTTCAAAGAGCAGAAATGTAGATTAACTTTGTGGACTAAATTAATTTCCATAATACAAATTAAAATACCAAGGCATTGTTTCCCAGCACATCAGTCAGGTGGCTCACGATAGCATTTAACTCCAGTTCTAGAAGATTCACCACCTCTGGCTTCCACAAGCCTCTGTGCTCACATTCACACACATAATTAAAAATAAATCATTTTTAAAAATAAAATAGTGCTGTAATGTCCATTTAACCTCAAAAATGGAGGAAACTATTCATGATATAATGCTATGCAAAATATTAAAAATATTCTCTATTTCTAAATATAGAAATGGATCTATGTATTTAGGAGAGCAAACACCTGGAATTCTAGCACTAAGGCATGTGGATGAGTATGAGGTGGGAAGACTGAAAATTCAAGTCCAGCCTAGGCTACTTAGTAAGACCCTGTCTCAAATAAAAAAAAAAGATATATTATGCAAGTATAC